CAGTGGCACTTTCTGGCCTGCTACACTGGCTACACTGGCTAAAGCTGGAAGAAACCCATCTTGTGTGGGAGGGATCTGAGAAAAGAAGCCAAGCTTTTCATGTGGGTGTTCTATCTTGAATTCAGAATGTCTATACCATTCTGTCTACTTCTGTTTTTGTTCTTAGTGATTATTATATAGTGACACAGCCCACTGCTACCATGAACCAGTTTTTTTCACAACCATGTGGTGAGCCATGGTGTAGTGAATAGGTCTAGCTTCCATTTCTCCATGTGGTTCTATTCAAAAGTATGAAATTGAGTTTGTGGTAAATCTTGGCCAACAAAAGATATCTGTAATTTTGTTATCTTGGGAGAGTCACTAAAAATCACTTTGTGTCAATTTTCCTCATCTTGTAAAATGATACTTATCCTATTTGCTCTTCAGTGTTAGGGATTTCAAATAGTAAATTTGTGTAAGTACTTTGGAAAGAGTAGAGATTTCTTAGATGACAATGAATGTGATGCTGAAAGAATGCCTCTCATCCAGAAACTGGTGGTGCTGTGCACAAAGCAGGTGCTTTGGCAATGAACAAGCCTGAATTAGAGTCCTAGCTCTGCCTGTCATTTGGGCAAGTTATTAAACCTCTATAAATTTTCAATTTATAAAATGTAATATTGTTGATGTACAGCAATAATAAACTGAAGCTCCAGATATGCAAAAGCCATTAATAAATGATAGATATTATTATTTTTATTATCAATTATTGAATTATGATACAGAGCTAGCAGGTTCAGGATACTAGGTCTTATATTCTAAGACATGTATACTAATTCACTTTGAACTCCAGGAAAAAGTGAATTCAGTTGTTCTTCTAGGAAACCAACTACCCTAAGTGATGGAGGCCAATTCTGGAAGCTTACCCTCATACACAACGCACCTTGAGAAAATGTGAAAAGGTGCCTTTTTTTCCTTTAGAAGTCTCTGCTTAAGTCCCTACCTTCTATGACCACAGGAATTCTAGGAGGCTGTTGAGATCTCAAAATTTACCTTTGCATTCTAAGTTTTCTGAATAGGATATAATTATGGTGAAGTAATTTCCAACATTTTTAGCATGAGAATCTCATTTTAAGGTAAAAAAATATCATGGAATCACATATAATAATAGTTCTACTTTAAGTAGCCATTGATTGAAAAAATGCAGGATAAATATTCAGCAACATTGAAAAATTAGAGCGTCCCCTCTTAAAATTTTAAGTACATGAACTTGGTAGACTAGTTCATGAGGTACAAAGGAGAATACCATAAAAGTATCCTTCCTGCACCCCATTCTTCAGTTACACATTGCCCTTCCCCCAGCCAACTATTGTTTCAATTTCCACCTTGTCCTTTTAAAGGTAACTATTTACTGCAAATATTCACATATGTATCATTTTTTAAAAGACAAAATGGCAGCATATCTTACCACCTACACCTTGCTTTACTTCATTTATCATGTTCTGCTATATTTTGCTGTACTTTAAAATGGATATATCAGGAAAAAAAAGATTAGGTATTTTTATTCATCATTGCATGTACTATTGAAAATTGCACTGTATTTTTTTTGAGACAGAGCCTCAAGCTTGAGTCTCAAGCTGTCACCCTGGGTAGAGTGCCCTGGCATCATAGCCTGCAGGAACCTCCAACTCTTGGGCTCAAGCAATCCTCTTGCCTCAGTTTTTCTCTTTTTAGTAGAGACAGGGTCTTGCTTTTGCTCAGGCTGGTCTCAAACTCATGAGCTCAAGCCATCCACCCTCCTTGGCCTCCCAGAGTGCTAGGATTACAGGCATGAGCCACTGCACCCAGCCTGAATATTTTAATATATAGAAAATTCTAGTGTGTAGTTACTACATGCCACTTAGAGATTCTCAGCTCTTATATTAGGAACCACTGGGATAGGTAAATTATTAATAATATTTATTACATATATAACATTAATATAACATTAATTTTGGCCCTTACTCTGTACCAGACATTGTTCTAAGAACTTTACAAATTATCTCACCTAATACATGTGTGAGATATGTATCCTTATCCTTCTAGTCTAAATTTAAATGGTGTCTCCTTAAAGAACCGGTCCATTACCCAAATACACCTACATTCTCCCCTTTCCATTATTCTCTGTCATTTCATCCTGTTTATTTCCTTTAGGATACTTATCACTACAAGTAAGTAGTTACCTATTTGTCTACTTGGTTACTCTTGCCTCCCTAACCAGAGAGTGAGCTTTGAGATCAGGGACAGTGTCAGTTTGGTTCATCAGAGTATGCCCAATATCCAGTATGGTGTCAAAGGAGCCACTCAGCTGATATTTATTGAATGGGTACATAATGAGCAAAACTAGCTTTATGATGTTGACACTATTATTTTCTCCATTATACTGATAAGGAAATTAAGGCCTAAAGAGTGAAATAGACTTATCTCAATGTTAGTAAGTTCCAAAATTGTTTTAAATCTTAGCTCTACTTGATTCTAGAGCACAAGCTTTTCACCACTATTCCAGTCTCAGAGACAGAAGACTAAGTATAGTCCTGCTGAGATACTGAATAAGTCCTTTTTCTCCTCTGGGACTTTTTCTTTCATTGAAATTAAAATTGAATGTAGCCATCTTCCTTAAGGTGATTTATGAGATATGTGATCTATGGAAATGAAAGGAGGGGGCATTACAGTGGCCAAGAAGGCTGCCTTGATGCCTTTAAGAGTGCTGATGTTTAGTTCTTTTCTTCCTTCCCATCTTCCTTTACTGAAGGTTTGCTGATCCTTCCTTTAGGCAGGCACTGTGTTGAACATAAGAGGGATCCAAGACTAATAGAACATAGTTGATTGAGGTGCTGGACCTGATGGAAGATGCAGAGCCGTTAATAGCTGCTTAGAATATAATATGGACAAGTACCATAATAGTAATACTGTATGTGAAACACACAGTAACACAGAGGAAGCGATTATTTCCATCACGTATGTGTCTGGTGGTGGGACTAGGACTGGAGGAAGGGGGAATGAGGTATTAACACTGAGCTGGGCTTTGGATAAAGACGAATTTTCTAGGTAGAGGTGAGGCTTTCTGGACACAAGAGATATCATGTGTGGAAACACACTAAGAAACTACATAATGTGCTGTGGGTTGCTAGGGTAGGAGACTGCCTCTCAAGCTAGGTAGAAGAATCTTATGAAGAGCCTTGTGGAAGAGTTTGGACTTCACTCCTGACAGCAGTGACATGACCAAATCATATGCACATTTCATTTTTAGAAAAATCACTCTGGCAGTGTTAGGATTGGAGTAGGTGATGAGTGAAAAGAGATAGAGACCGGTGAGGAGGCTTTGAGGTTCAGGTGAGAAGTGATGAGGACTTGAACTTAAGGTATTTGCAGTAGATTTGGAAAGGAAGTATATAAATTAGAGACTTGTAAAAGGCAGAGCCAAAGGATTTGTGATTGTGATGAAAGGGGAGGGTGAGAGACGAGACTTAAGGGACTTATTGTAACAGATTGGATGGCCAAGTATAAAATAGTACCATTAATAAGCATAGAGAATTTGGAGATGGGTGGGAGAAGTGATGCTGTTAGCTTTGGATATATTGAGTTTAAGGTGCCTCTTAAGATAGGAAGGTGTAGCTCCTTCCTTTCCAGAACAGCAATCCTAGCCTAAGTTAGACATCCTTGGGCCAGTTTCCTGTGGGGCCTAGTCAAGGATAAAATTCTCCAAGACCTCACTGGCATTCCTGAGCTCAGCATCCTTCAAAGATAAAAGCTGGTTATTGAAAACTCTTTGTACCTTCATTGATAGGAGAATGAATTATGAATCTGTTTTGTTGTTTGCTTTTTGTTTTTTGGTAGTAGTGTGTGTTTTAAATCAGATGCTGGCTTCAGTGGAGCAAACTCTTCTGCCTCTTGCAAGCTTCAGACTTTAAAAAAAAAAAAAAGGAACCATTTTTATGGAGCAGCCTCTGGCCCTGACAGGCTCTTGCTCTCAACTGGCTCCCAGGAAAAACCCCCATCTCCCAAGGGGAGCGAATTTTTAAAAGATGAGATGCTATAGTCCCACGTGGCTGCTGGAAAAACCTTGGAGTCTTGGTGACTCCCAACACCTCTCCTAACCACCACCTCTGGTGAGGTGTCCTCAATGCCAAGACAAAACTCCTAGTCCCAACTCTTTCCAAAATGATAAGGCTGAGATCCTTCCCTACCTCAACTCAAATATCCAGCGCTCACCAGGCGGTGGCAGGGCCGAGCACGTGGGATCATTTAGGGGCCAGCCTCCAGAGTCCTCCCAGAGTAGGTGACAGCCTGGGAGGCGAGAGGCTGGCTGTGGCAACTCTCCAGCTCTTATAGCCGATGGCCAAAGGCAGGGACACAACCTGTGTCCCATTCCCTTGTTCATAGGATGCTGCCAGAAGCTGTTATCTCTTCTTTGCTCTTTCCTCATGCACTATCCCCACTGTCATGCTGATAAATCCTAAGAGCAAAGGGTGGCACGATTTCTCCCGCGCCCCTGAGGACTGAAGGCGGACACTAAAGCAGTGCAGTCCCAAGCTTCCCCTGCAGAAGCCGCGCTCCCCTCTGGGTCCGGGGGTAGAGGGGGCGCGAGAGAGCAAGTGGGCGGGCGTCCCATCCTCTGCATCCTCCTCCAGGTCCTGGCGCGCAGGGTGGGAGCGCTGCGCTGCGCCGCGCTGCGCATCGCGGCCCGCTTGCCGCCTGCCCCCTGCCCTAGCTGGGCCACCTCCCAGGGCCGCCGGTGGAGGTCTGCGAGGCGCTAACGTTACGCTGTTTCCGGTTTTTCAGAGGGCTCTATTTCCCCTCCCAAGGCGGCGGCGGCTGAGCGGCGGAGCCCCCCAAATGGCCTGGCCAGATGCGGCAGG